GCCACTTTCCCCTTGGCAAGGACTGGCCAGACATACCTGTCTGTATGTTGGTCCCGGTCACTGTGGGTTTCATGGTGCCAGCCTGGAGAGAGAAGGCGTAGAGGTTGGCACAAGGGGCCCTCCTGAACCCCTCCAAAAGTTTCTCAGCATTTATGGGCCCAATTGGGGTGTAGGGGGGTCAGTATTAACCCCGTCAGGCCCACGACATGAAGGAAGATGCTTTAAGAAGGGTGGTGGAGCTCCTCCGTGTTCATCACTCCCAGACTTTAAAGCAGCTAGTGGAGACTGACTTTATTATTTATTTATTGGGGTTTTTCTTTTTAAATTAAATCCCGCCTTTCTTTTGAGTAACTCAGAACAGTGAACCTATCTAATATCCCTTCCTCCTTGTATTTTCCCCACCACCACAATCCGGGTGAGGTGTGTTGGGCTGAGACAGAGGGACTGGCCCAACCCAGCCAGCTTTTGTGGCTAAGGTGGGACTAGAACTCCAAGTCACCCGGTGATCGGCACAGAGTCACTCAGCTGGCTTTCATGCCTAAAGCAGGACTAGAACTCCCAGTCTCCTGGTGATTGGCCCAATGTCACTGAGACAGCTTTCATGCCTAAAGGGGGACTAGAACTCCCAGTCACCTGGTGATCGGCACAGAGTCACCCAGCTGGCTTTCATGCCTAAAGGGGGACTAGAACTCCCAGTCTCCTGGTGATTGGCCCAATGTCACTGAAGACAGCTTTCATGCCTAAAGGGAGACTAGAACTCCCAGTCTCCTGGTTTTTAGGGAACCGCCTCACCCCTACACTATTTAGCATGAATCTTGACCTCTCCTAACTCTGAGAGGTAACCACGGGAAAGGAATCGTCCCAAAGCCATGCATAAAATCCAGCTGTTGCTTTTGTGGCCTCCTGGGTTACCTACAGAGAGCCTTTCCCGGCCTCTTTTGCAAGCCCGCAAGAGGGTCTTACCAACACAGCTGTGCTTGCCACCGTGGTCGCGGCTGTTTGTAGCCCACCTTGGGGCTGCTGGATGCCCTGGCCTTGCACCTGGGGCTGAGATTGTGCTTGCTGCCCCGCCAATGGCTGAGCGGTTTGCTGTCCGGCCTGCTGCTGTTGTTGCTGCTGCTGTTGTTGCTGTTGCTGCTGTTGTTGTTGTGGGGCGGCTTGTTGCTGAGCTCGCTGTTGCTCGGCCAGAGCCTGGGAAGAAGAAGAAGAAGAAGAGAGCCAAAGAGTTGGCGGCAAGGATCTCCCTTGGGGGTCCTTGCCATTTTCTTGCTTGGCAAGGGGTTTGATCTTGCTTCTTTTTCTCTCGGGCTGAGAGAGAGGGACTGGCCTCCGATTACCTAGTTAATGTGGGTCCTTGGTGCTCTCTTGAGCTCGGTTAGTTTTCTGACGGGCATTTCATGACCCAACGGTAGTGTTAGAAGGGAGTGGGGTCTGTGGGGAGGTGAAGGAGGAGGAGGAGGACTGTGGGGTCCTTGGTGCTCTTTGAGCTTGGTAATTTTCTTGCAGACGTTTCATGACCCAACTAGGTAACATCAACAGTGTTAGAAAGGAGTGGGGTTTGGGTGGGGAGGTGAAGGAGGAGGAGGAGGGCTGTGGGGTCCTTGGTGCTCTTTGAGCTTGGTAATTTTCTTGCAGACGTTCCATGACCCAACTAGGTAACATCAACAGTGTTAGAAAGGAGTGGGGTTTGGGTGGGGAGGTGAAGGAGGAGGAGGAGGGCTGTGGGGTCCTTGGTGCTCTTTGAGCTTGGTAATTTTCTTGCAGACGTTCCATGACCCAACTAGGTAACATCAACAGTGTTAGAAAGGAATGGGGTTTGGGTGGGGAGGAGGAGGAGGACTGTGGGGTCCTTGGTGCTATTTTCTTGCAGACGTTTCAGGACCCAACTAGGTAACATCAGCAGTGCTACAAGGGAGTGGGGTTTGCTCGTATTTTTATTTACTAGTGGCAACAGTCCCCAACCTTTGCAGCTTGGTGGCCTGGCTGGGATGGGAGAGAGGGGGACTGGGCTCGCCACCCGCCAGCGTGCGCACACACAGCCCTCACGGGGGCGAGGGACTGGAGTCTCTCTCTCTCTCTCTCTCTCTCTCTTTTTCTTTCTCTTTCCACCTACCTTCTTTTCCTTTGCAATGCGCTCTGCTCGGAGAGATGCAACTTGAATCGGAGGCAGTGGCTTATCATAGTTGATGCCACTAAAATTAAGAGGAAAAATAGGTAATAGGTAGGATAATAAACAAAGCCACTTAGGTCAAATAGGAGGTACAGAAATGTGATGAATGAGTAAATGAACGAATGAAGGAATGATTGATTGATTGAACAAGTGAGCCAAGTCAGATATTCTGAAAGGAAAAAAAACCAAAATAGGCACAAAGCAATTAAATTAAACCCTGATGATTTCGGTGCTGGATTATGTACAGACCCATGTAACACATCGCTCATGTAACGAAGGGTTGGAGAGAATGCCCTGAAACTCTAGATCAGAGGACTCCAAACTCGTCAACTTTTCGACTTGTGGACTTCAACTTCCAGAATTCTGCATGGGTGGCTGAGAAATTCTGGGAGCTGAAGTCCACAAGTCATAAAGTTGACAGATTTGGTGATATCCCTGCGTCTTTTCCACCGTCTCTTGCCAGTTCTTACCTTTCTGCAAGGACTGAAGTGTGTTTAGGGTTTTTCTGGAAGGGATTCATGCCAAGTCTGAAATAAAACCACACACAAAAAAAGGATAGGCATTTGTTGGAAAGCCACAGCAGATTTTAAAAAAAATGCCACATGTAATTAGATGCGAAAGCCCAATTCGAAATGAAGGAATCGGTTTAGGTGCACCAATCAGCGCCTCAGATTGACACCAGAAGGGTTATATCCAGGCGCACCTTTTCTTCGTAAGACGTTCCTTATGCTGTTCTGAAGTGAACATGAAACTGTATTTTTAGTTTATTAGATTTTTTTTTTTATCTTGCCCTTACTACTTTCAAAGTAACACAAAGTGGCGAACATACCCCACACTGCTTCCTCCTCCTATTTTTCCCCACAACGTACCTGTGAGGTGGACTTGCATGAGAGAGGGGGACTGGTCCAAATGCACCCAGCTGGTTTTCATGCCTAAAGCATGAAAGACTAGAATTCACTCTCTCCTG